CCCCGTTTCATAAAATAGAAGCTTTTTTGGCAGTCAATGTATATTATTCTTTGTATCTCACAATCACCTGTCGTGAGTTAGGAGTCAAACTTGCATAAATTGGATCTCGTTGGTCAATCACAGAGAATCTGACTATAGCTCGCGCTACGGTTTCTAGAGTCTGAAGCCTTCCCAGATGAGTTGGAAGTTTATATTTATCATCCACAAAAAACCATGGAGACTCATTTTTTATAAGATACTGGCTATAGGAAACGAGTACTGGACAATCAGAAAAACTAAGAAACTTCAGTAGCCGAAGCAAAAAAATTAGAAACTATTAAATCGTGATAAAACTAAAAACAAGGAAACTTCGTAAAATACAAGAACATTATTGCCCTATTGGCCTAGAACTGAAAACACGAGGGATAAAAAAAAATACTTCCCAAATCTAAATACAGCATCAGAACGGAAGCGAATCTCTTGACGTGAAAAAAGGACATGAACATTTCATAACATCATTCGTGACATCATAAATAAGAAACTCTTAAGAAAAAATGAGTATTCAAATTTTCAAAACTTTAAAAAACTGGAGTACTCAACATCGACCTTTGTTACTTATAAAAAAATGAGTGTACATGTAATAAATCAGAAGTGAAACAAAACAAAGGAAAAACCAAAGTTTGACAATTGAAATTGTTTGAAAAACAGAGTAAGACATCTTGCTATCATCTTATGCAAAGGATGAGTAAAAATTTTTTAATATGAGCAACGCTAGAAATATGATTACTGCATTTACAGTCAAAAAATTTCAGAGGTTTGTTTTTCACGAAAGTCACTGCTATGTTGATTTTGTATATATTTGTACGAGGTTCTGTGTGAATCTATGTTTTCAGGGGAACAGGGTATGTCCGACTTACGCAGATATTCGAGTAACGAATCCATATATGCAATTCAAATTTATAGCATTTAATCAAATCTGATTGGGACAATGCTTTTTATCTGAGTTGCGAAACATCTGCATTATGTGAATCTGGCTTACGCAAAATTTTCTGTATTTTTTGACATTATCGAAAAAACGACCAGTCAGTTGTTTACTTGAAAGGATCTTCAGAAGAAATTCACCATTCGGAAATCATCATTGTCACAGTAACACGCCCGATCCTGATGCAAGTGTGCATCCTTTAAAAATTCTAATCAACTCCTTTGTTTTAGTACCCGATGCTCCATGGAATGTTTCTGCAGTTGCACTTTCATCAACGACAGTTCAAGTCTCCTGGTCTCAACCAGTCTCGCTTCGAGGAATCCTGTATGACTACAAAGTTAGATACAAAATCGTCTCTGCAAGTAGTTACTTAAGCACCATCTCCGCAGGGACTAAAACAAAGCTTACAATTTCATCTATGCAGTCATCCAAAGATTACCAATTTCAGGTAACATAAGTTGCGAAGTATTAGCACATATTAACTTGAGCTGTAATCGTTATACTTCAGCAAAACGGTAATCATCTTTTTTTACTTGCATAATATTTACAAGTGAAAATACTTTCAGGTATGAAATTGAAACGGTTGACAAGTTTTATTGTTATATGTTCTATACAAATTCTTTTCAGCGTTGAATATTTATCATTGTAGGTGGCAGCGACAGTAAATGGTGGGATAAACTTTGGGAGATGGAGCCTTGTTGTGACAGTAAAAACACATGAGGGAAGTACGTAATACAATTTTGCATTTGTATCAAGAATAGAAATTATACCAGTCATGTATAAAATCGCTTTGTAATGATGTAAAAACTTAGTTGTTATTAAGGTTTTGAGCGTTTTATTTGAGTATCGATTCATGATCATAACCTTTCATGACAATATTACATTGTAAACCCAGAAGTTCTTTGATTTCACAAATTGCCAATACAACATGTGACTTGATTTGTTTCAAAGTACATACCCTCCTTTAGAAGTATTAACGTAATTGCCAAAAGTGGCATCGATGAAAAAGCACTTTGTATATTTCCACCGTACTTTTTTTCCTTCTCATGATGTTATTTTCTTCCTTCTTAAAAGAGAACATGTATGTTGATGTTCCTTACTGACCTTTTCATTAGGGACCAGGGAGTGGCTGTGCAACACACCCCCTTCACTCATTTTTTGCCTTTTCTCTGCTTGAAACACGTAAATTAATTTGCACGTTGTTCATTAGTTTCTTTTGTTGCTTTGTTGAATTTACCCCCGTCAAGTCCAATAAAAAAACAATTTTGTCCCGTCAATGAAGCCCATCCTATTGACATAACTCGGTCCTATTTTCAGTAAGGTCACTATTAATACTTACTTATTACTGATGTTCCATTGTCAACAGAACCGAGCCAGCCGCAGAATATGAAGCTTTCTAGTATCACATCTTCTTCCGTTCTTGTCAACATCACTAAGCCATTACGAGAAAATGGAATCGTTAGAAATTATACTGTAAGTATAATCGATGCATCTAATGTACTGAATAAAGCCAATTGCCAGTATTTGGCCATCAATATAAAGTTTTTTTCTTTTCAAATTGTCTGATGACACCATTTTTTGTAGAATATTTTACGTATAACGGCTTTGGTAGTAGATGTATCCTTGAAGACTTTAATAATGTGATCCAATTTTTTGAGCTCCCTTGATTCACATAAATTTTCAGGTGAGGTATTTTGGCAGAAAATCTTACAACAGCACCTTTGAACACAACGGTTTTATAACAGTTGACCGGAGCTTCCATTCAAAATTTACTTCTAAAACGTTGAGCAACCTCGTCCCGGCTACAAATTACACAATCGATGTTGCTGCAGTAACCGGAGGTGGAAGGGGTATCTTTAGTGGAAGGGTTACCTTTGAAACAAACTACGCAGGTATTTATTTTTTTAATTGGCAATAAAGAATGTTGCAGGATCCGATGCATAAACTAAGGCTTTATGTGCACAAATGAATTTCGAGTAAAGATTGATTTGTTTTAGCTAGGTTTTTTGTCTATGGTAAATTTCAATGACGTTTCTATTAAACTAGTATTATTGAGCAATGGTGTTTTGCTTATGAGTATAAGCCGGAAACCTTTCTCGGGAGCACAATTCCTCTGCCCTTCCTTGGCTAAAAATTATTAGAAAGCTATAATTCTTACAGGTTTATTGCAAACAGACCCGAATAATTCATAATTTTATTTTATAGTTTTTTGTATTTTTTTGTACGTTTATGTCTATGTCTATAGTCAGGTTAATTTTTTTTCCCGTTCGATTCTTATATCAATTTTAGTGTTTATCAATAAGATCATTATTTTTTCTCATTTCATATAACTTTTTTCATATAACTTTGGTTATGTTCGTAGAGAAATGTGCTGAAATAGCCTCTAAGTTATTATCACGCTTTGTTTTTTCTTGTTTTTTAACCCGTTCTTATTTTCAAAATCAAGTTTTCATAAAACCATTTTTAAAGATAAAAGCACAATTTAATGTTTCTGTGAATTTTTTATGTAATTTTAGCCTCGTTAAAATGGCCATTTCTTTTAGCCCCACCAAAACCAACAATGGAAAATCAGGGTTCAATCGGAAGAAAACTCACAGTGAGAATTGGTACTGCAAGCGATATTAATGGACCAATAAGGTTTTATTCATTTTCATTACATTTCTCTTTTCTTCTCACGGCTTTTTTTCCGTTGTCCATAAAATTTTTATGCCAGATATCTACTTGGTGAATTTCTGTGCAATTTGTTAATAAACAGAAAAATATCGTTCATTTTGGATATGCTGAACGTCTTTGCACATTCATAGTTTTTTGTTTTTTTCCTTTGCTATAAATATCTATTTGGTCAAATTTTGAGCAAGAAACAGATTTTGTCAAAAAATTATATTCTTTATTCTAAATAATGTTGAATGTTTTGGTACATTATTAGATTCTTCGTATTCTTTTTCTTTTCTATGAACAGCGAATACCGGCTGTCTTTTCTGGAAGGAAATGCAATTACTTGTCAACAAAGCAGTTCTGCAGAGACAATTGTTCCTTCTAAACTGCCATTAAAGCTTGAGTTTATACCTGGAATGAAATCAGTTGCACATATTTCGACGGAGCTTAAAACATTGGCAAATTACACCATCTGCTATCGTGCTGCAACAACCAACAAGGTGAATACGATATTAATCAGATTCCTGTTACTGTAAGTTCATTTAGAACCGCTATAGCAAAGAAGTAAAGACTTGGATCATGTGTCTGTCTTATTTGAATTGCAATAGATTCTTCCCATAGAAGGGTCTTTCAATTAATGTATGAAGGAATTTTAACGGTTTTTAGCTACGTAATAACCAAAGCAGGCTCTCTGGTTTAGTTTAGCAATGCAAAAATAGCTTACCGTTATGCTTATAACTTGCATTTCAATATTTATTTTGTTGAGCGTTTTCTTGAATGGGGAGAAAGTAATGATCGAGGGTTTGCTTAAAGGAATTCAGATAGAAAATGAGAGAAGTATAACTAATCAATTGAATTGAGATAGAATGTGAAACTGGCTTCAAAAGCAAGAGGAAATTTTAAGAATAAACGTCAGGAACTAAGCAACATGACGCAGAGAATCGAATATATGGAAATAGATATTTAAAATAAATTGAATCCAATTAATATATATTATAGGAGATATGGCCATGAAGAGGTGCTTTGTCGCCAAGTTTTAAAACCTGTCAGAAAATAAAGGATGACTCTTTGTCGGCAAATTGGGCTTTTGCACCTTGAGCAAAGGAGCTAGCAACGGCTTTTCTAATGTAACACCCTTCCACATTATCTGAGGCCCTGCTCACACGATCCCGGGATCATTTCGTATCGGATCTCTTCACATATCGGATAGGTCTTCTGTTCACACGATGACGCATGAATCCGCTACGCTCCGTATCGTTTTTGTAGAATCAAATGGGATCACTGTGAAATGAAATCATATCGGATCACTTTTGATCTCGCTTGAAAGCATGAATCCGATAGTATTGAACTTGCTCGAATATGAAAGATGCAATTTATTGAAGTTACATTTGTTTATATTTCCCCAGGATATAGCGTATTACAGTCAATTTACAAGCACGATTATAGGTAAGTTTGCCACATTGAAACTTTGTACATTTAAATATTATGCCGATGTATTATTATTGAAGGCCAAATCTAAATTGATATATTTTTTAAAAAAACTGTCTAGTTATTGCATTGAGCGTAAAGCTGAGAAATGTAAGTTACAACATTCCTGTGCATCAAACCAGGGCGTTTGTCTTGAAATATATTTGTTGATCTGATTAATAAAATTTGTTTTGTTCTTCTTTTTACATCTTTTATAACTTCACGTATTCCCCTTTTGCAGTTTACAGGCCCCAATTTAATATTTGGTACTTTTTGAAATTTAGATAGATACCGTGTTTATTTTCTTGTCTTGAGTTATTCACGTTCCTGAAAGTTTTATCAATTTGATTTAACAGAGAGAAAACATTTAGAAAAACTGAACGTAAATATCTTCAAAAGCGAAGCGAAAGACATTTCATTCGTTATTCCCTTGAAAAGAGGACCAGAAAATACCAAGTAAGGAACTTAGTCTGTTTTTACCATGTTTTCACGAAACTCTTATCTTATCTAAAAAAAAGTATTCTGTTTGCGCTTTCAAGCATATATCTGGCTCATTTTCTCTTTATTAAATTCAATAAACGAAAAACATATTTTGCTCCCTGATAACACTATTGTACATCATTTTTTTGGCAATTTTGACTTTTCATGAAACTTCCATCTTAAGATGATTTATATCAAAATCATGTGTTTACAGGAAAGGTCAGAAATTCAACGCTTAAGATAAAATATTTTACAAAAATCTAATCATATTACAATTCTACATGACGTATCATCGACGTTTTGAATTCGATATCACCAGTGTCATTTTTATCCAAGAGAGTACCACATTATTGTACTGGAAACAGGAAACTCATCCAAAGTCAAAGATCCCCTTGACTGGAAGCCAAGTGAACTTGGACCATATGACTCTTCTACGCATATTAGCAGCACACCTTACATAGCAGGTGTCTTGTACAATTACGTTGCGAAATTTGAGATTGGCAATGGGAAAGAATATGTGTTATCTGGTCGGAGGAGGAGGAATGCCGATCAAGTAAAGTATATCAATGCACCATTGAAGCCAAACACAGAATATGTTGTCTTCCAGAGAGCTTATCTTTCAGCGGTAATCTGCTTCAGAGAGCCTATTTCTTCAATTGTAATTGTAATAATTTTGATGATAGTTAGATAATTTTATAAAGTAGCATATGGTTGCTGGACAATAAAAACTATAAAGTGCAACTTGAGATCGTCTTGGTCCTGGTCTATTTAAAAGCAAGATAAAAGTGTGTAAAACTATATCATACAGCAACGAGCACGGCACAAGCCAGAAAACAATCTTCTTCGCTAGATCAAGATAAGAGATACTTTACTTTAAAGTCATGATGCAATTTGTCTTTACAACTGCTATCAGATAATTCATTTGCTGGAATTTATGCCCCCTTCCATGTGCTGTTAGTTACTTCAGTTCAAAAAATTGTTTCATTTTGCAGGGTATTTATTTCTCTTCGCCGTGGGCTGGACCATTCAAAACAAGTAAGTTATCGTATAATTTTATGCTAGTAACATCTTTCAAGTTTCTTATTGTAGAACCGTGCATTTTTCGCCATTTTACTCGTGGGAGCTTCACAGTGTAAGCACGGCTTTTAACCCAGTTTGATGTTCGTGCCTTCTCTTCAATG